GACTCCCTGGCTGGGGACTCCGAGATGATGGTCACCGATGATTAGAGACACTGTGATATGGCTGGATGTCGCAAACAATAAAGCTCATGCATCTACTCACTATTCCTGTAACCCCAGTCGATATGAATTCTCTATCTTATGCTGGAATTTGCTCTCAACATTCCAATCTTCATTCTGCTCTTTTAACCAAACGGGCGACCAAAACCGGCGCACAAAAGTGGGCATGGTTGTGAAATCTGAACCGAATTGAAACTGTGCACACAGAACAGTCATGCAATCTTATGTACGATATTCAGCCGCGACTGATAATGAAGACCCCNTGAACCAGAGCTGTTACGGTACAAAGTACACCAGTAACTACGAATCGAACTGCATGATCATCATCGCAGGTCAAACGCAAAGTGGAAAACGATGGTCCGGATCGAAAACTATTGATCCTTAGGCCACTGATGCGTACCTGATACATGGACGCTATTGGACCCTGTGTCTCTCTTTGTACTCTGTTGCTAAGCCTCACTTGTACACCATTCCTTACAGTGTTATTGGAAAATAACCCCGTGCTCATAAAATGTACTGTTGCACATAATTCTTAGAACAAATCAGCCATATCATATAAGTATGCCCTTGGCATGTGAATACACATCGCAGCGAATCGATGTTGTCAGATCATGTCTCCTATCTGTACTCGGTCATTGTTGACCACACTCCCCCGTCTCTCTCAAACAGAGTTATGCTTTAAATGACTTCCCTGCCCTGATTGTTTTTGTTCGTACTGATTCGTGGAGCATCACGAGCTATCTCCTTTCACACACACACACACACACACACACTTTCCTTCCCGACCGTATGTGCCTTATTGTACAGGTCGATATAGTTCGTACACGGAGACCGCGATGAAAATGTGCTCCCACGTGATGGAGGAATTCTGTCACAAAGAGTTGAAACTAATGCGTCTGGAGTCGTTGGTCAATCCGCTCCTGGACGAAGACGACCTGGTCGGACTGAGTTTTCTTCTCCAACAGGCGATTGAGGCGATGCGAGCGGTCGAACACAGTCGCCCGTTCCACACGCCAGTCGATAAACGCCGGTACCCGGTGAGTGTGTTGTGTATGATGCTCGCATTCTCTTGCAATGCGATATATATATCATGTCTGAGGATAATCTAATGTGCCAAACAAATCACGGCACAGAAATACTTATAAAAAAATTTCTATGATCTGCATGTGGACGCGATATTAACAGGTTACCCAGGCCAAAGGCCAACCAGCTCATACCATGACTGAACCAAATTGCCAATTGATTTTTGTTCCGGGTGTCGTCTTCAGGGATAGTCAGTCAGTTCATTTGGCCCGACAGCAACAAAGAGAGACACAAATGATAATCTATTAACTCTAATCGAAAGCCGCATCACTAGTCACAAGTAACTGTGAGTTGAATGCGAAACATCAACGTGATCATCAACGTTGATCATATAGTGACCACAAAGAAAGATTGGCCCCATCCTGAACTCCATGCGTGATAGATACGCGTCGGAAGAGATAAAGATCCCAACTGAGGACGTCTGAGTTGCAGTCGGACTATGATAGGGTTATGGTCGTCAAGCGGTTTCATTCGACATGCGGTGCGAATCCCATCACAGCCGCCCAACTTTGATGGTAGACACCCTCACATCGTTCGACTCAACACCATACGCCTCCTCTCCGCCGAGCGGGACCTTATGCGGTTCACCACTCCCAGCCTCGGGGCTTAGATCACCGGTTTCCATGATTGAACAGCAGGTTTCCGTCTTCGATTTACCACACACACACAGGTGTGCAATAAAAAAGGACCTAGTGGTAAGTCCCTGGGGTATAATCCTTAATCCTTCCCTTAGGTATCGTTCTGCAGTAGTTAGTTCTGTAAAGTGCTCGAATTCATGCAGTCTGCATGTTCCAAGACGCCGCATTAACAGCTCCGCTATTCAATGGCTTCCATGGAATTCAATCCAAGAATTCTAAGCAGTTGAGTTTTGTAATCTTTTCTTTTTCTGAGGTACACAACATAAGCATACATTAACCTGTTTGTTGAACAAATTCCATTTCTCAAGCTTTTTCCTGGGCAACTTCGCGATTTAGTTTCTTTTTTCATGCAACACAACGAATATTTAACAAACTATATCATTCAAATAGTTGAGGCTGACTGAATAGGCAGAATGGAAATACTGTGACAGATTTGGAGCACTCGATCTCCTGGATCCCTAATCGAATTGCTGTGACGATCGATGATGCCCACCGACCCTCGCCTCGAATACCGAGCTTACGGATACTAGAAAACCGTTGAATCGAGTGATGGTGGCGTACTGGTTTAGTCGCTGTCACAGGCATGCTTTGGACCCTACGATCCGAGGTTCGAGCCCCGCCATCCCCACCCAACTTTGATGGTAGACAGCTTTGCTGTCCTCCGGTCCAATACCACACTCAACCTATCGGGGGCTTATGTGATTCACTACTCCAAGTCCCGGGGATGAGGTCCCTGGTTGCCATCGCTGACCAACAGGTCCTCAGGACTATGTGGCTTTCCCCATCTGCTGTTCATCACACGAAAATGTGTAATTAAAAAAAAATAGCTAGATGAAGACACCCCCCCCCCTCTTCATTCGCATTTGGGATGTGCGAGAACCGTTACCTCCATAACAACCTCGCATGGATGGGTTGTGTGGTAGGACGTGTATATTCAAAAATCAGAAACGGTATGATCAGCTGCTTCGGGGTGGCCGAGTGAGTAGCGTGCTTTCGTTCTACTTGTAACGAGGTCCCGGGTTCG